AAATAAAATGAACAGGACTGAGGCATATTCTAAGCCAAAATTGAATTTTAACCAAAAGTAGCTAGAAAGCTATGGAATCTGTTAAGATGCTGTTAAGCAGCACCCACCACTTAGCAGGGCGGAGAGGTCAACCAAACACCATTGGTAGCAGTTACAGCAGAAAGAAAACCAAGTTCACGTTTCCACCCCGAGGAACTAGACCTTCTCAGTAAACAGGTGGGCAGCGTTGTGAGAAAACACAAACAGGGGAGGAGCAGCTGGCTGCTCGAGAGACAGCTGGACACACGGGCAGACACAGCTCAGTGTGGGAAGTGCGAGAAGTTGACGTGTCTGGGATGAATGGAGCAGACAGGAGGGCGCCTCGCCCCGTCCTGGGGTGTGAGGAAAAGCTCCCTGGAAGATAAGGGTCTCAGTGGAGAGCTAAAAGATGGAAGAGCTTTCCAAAAGCGGACTCCAACGTCATCTCCCACATGGCCTTGGGAGCCACTTTATCCCGAGGGCGGTGGGGCATCATTAAAAACCAAATGAAATGGGGAATGACTGTCTAATGGGCACGGGTTTCTCTTTTGTGGTGACAAAATGTTCTGACATTAGATAGTGGTGATGGTTGTACAACATTGTGAATATACTAAAAGCTACTGAATTGCACACTTTAAAATGGTGAATTTTACCTCAATTAAAAAAAAAAAGAAAAAAAAAAGTAAATGACCCCTGGAAGGAATTTTCAATTCCACCAAGATGGAGTAACAAGCACCCATTTACCCTCCTGCCTGAAACGATACACAGGACAAATATATGAGACAATGGTTTCCAAGAAAATAGGCATCAGGCAACAAAAGACTGATTCCTGAGGAATGGGAAGTAAAGGACATGTGTCCTATGATTGCCACAGAGTGGGGAAAAGGGGAACCCTAAGAGGCCACGGGCCAGGTTGGACTCAGGTGTCCTTTGCCGACCTGGCTACATGGACATAGGAGGGGGAAGTCGGGGTTGAGGGGTGTGATGCAATTGTTTGCGTCCTCACTATGTGGGCACGACTCTCTAGCTGCATCAGAATCCTCAGGTCACTTCCCTTCTTATACCCTTTCCACGGCACCCAGCCCTCCTCAGGCAGGCTCTAAACCCTCGACATCGTTGACAAAGCCATCTGGCCCCTGCTGAACACGCCACTCATTTGTTCCCAGCCCCACTCCTCGCCCAAACCTAAAGAAGAAGAAAAGGCGGTTTTCACTTACCAAGCTGTGTTCTCTCGCCTCCTGGCATGTGTAAACACTGTTCCCTCCAGCCAGAACACTTCTCTTCTGTCTCGGGTCTCCACGCACAGGTTCCTGCCCCAGGAAGCCAGTCCCACCCTTCCTTAGACTGGGCTGGAAAGTGTTCCCCCCACACCTGGCCTTTCCTGGCCCTGCACGCATGTTCCTGCATCATGATAGCATTTCGTGCCATCTCCCTCCCTGGACCGCAGGCACCTGAGAGCTGGGAGTGGGGGTCGGGTGGATACTTAGCCACCGTAGGACTCTAGCCCAGTGCAGCCTCAGTAAACAACTTATGAGCAAGTTCATGGAAAGAACAAAGTAAACTTAGGAATTTCTACCGTGGTATTGACCCTTTCGTGACTTAGTACTGTTGCTCAGAATTCATCAGACAGAGAATATTAACATTAATATTTTGAAAAAGCTTTGAGTTCTCCTGTTGAAAGTTAACTGGAATTTGAAGCCGGAAAAATACCAACAGCTGAGCAAGCTGCAGGGGGCAGGTGGTGAACCTCACATATTGGGTTGTCGGAAAAGCCATGACACATTTTTGCAACGAAAAACAGAAAAAATACGTCATGACTTTTCCGACAACCTAATAGATAAGGGCACCCTTGAGGTCCAATGTAGCAACCGTCTGACTCGAAAGAAACTTGAATCCCAGACTATAACCACCTGGACAGACTACAGCATTCCAAACGGGGCTTTGGGTGAGCTTCCCCGCCCACGCCCCAGCACCTGTAACAAGACAAACCCATTTAGTAAATTGATTACAAACAGCAAAGATCCCCACAGAATGAAAATCATCTGTGTTAATAGAAAATCATCTGTTTCAAGTTCTCCAAGTCTCAAACTTGAAGCACTTTGAAATCTGATTAGCAACAGGTGGAGATGACTCCATGCTCACGTCTGCCCGAGGGCAGTAACTAATCAGTCAAGGACTGACAAGCCGCCTCCCAGCCCGATTCCCTGCACAACAGACCATTTTCCAAAGTTTCCAGCTTTACTGTGAAGTATGAAAGCCATTCAAAACGATGCTCTGCTTTTCAAAGTGGCCCTATTATACCCGAAAATGATATATCTAATACTCGCCCCTAAAGCCAAGCACTCCTAGCCTAATTTTACTTTCTTTTCTTAGAAGTCTTTCTACTGATTGCAGAAATTCAGACTGGTTCAGTTGTTTATACAGGGTAGAGGTTCTCAAGTCAGGACCAATATCAGTACGTGTTCCTAGTATTTCATGCCTAGTATCTTGCAGCTTCCTCAAAAAAACCATGGAAAAGAAAGGGTTCACATTCTAGCTTGACTATAGATACTACAGATTTTTCGGGGGAAATGCTTCCTACATAGCTTAGTATGAAGCAAGGGTGAAATTCAATTGAATACATGGCCCAGGCAAGTCAAGTGAGTTAAGCAGGTGAGGTCAGAGAAGACAAAGAGTTCTCCCTTCCTTCAGGCCGTCACACGTAGGGTCTTGTTGGACCAGAAACCCACACTCCACTTAGAAGGCAGCGAGCACTCCATCGCTGGTCCACCAAGTGTTGAAAACAAGGGCCCCCTACTGCCATATCGGCTTCTCCCAAGGAAGGTCCAAAATCAAACATACATGAAACTTTAAATTTTTAAATGGTGACAACAATTAATTTTTTTAAATAGCCAACCCCCCCCACACCCACACACACACAAAATAAAATAAATTTAAAAATCCCTGTGCAACCATATCCGCTGATATTTTGGTTCCAATCTCAGATTTGGAATCATAATACCAGCTCTATCAATTTCTAGCTCTTGGTATCTCTGGCCTATCAATAAAATTGAGCTTCACTGCCCTCACCTGAAAAATAGGGTCATAAACATGAGACACAATAATGCTTATTTAACACTTGAAAACAATTTTTAACACAGGGTAAGCAAAATTGTTTCCTGTAAGAGTAGATTTGACCATCAGTACATTATCTGCTGTGATTTTCAAAGAACCTAACTGAAAAATCCCAAGGAGGTGGAGTTCTTAGGAGATTTGAGCCTTTCAAATTCTGATTACTGAGTACTGAGTATTAAAGTCATTAGAAACTAAATAGAACCAACAATAAAGAATGCCTAGCATCAGGTACTTAATATGCTAGAAGTGGCTCTTCTAATTAAGAGATCTAGTAACTGTCACTAGTTAACGGCCACAAAAAGACAATAAAGTACACATTGAGGGGTATATGGGTCCAGGGAAAACAGTGGCAGCTTCTAAAACAAGCTTTTAAAACAAACCAAAGGGTGTTAAGGTAGGTAAATTTTTCAAATCAGACAAAACTTCTATCGTCAGATTATAGACTCTGGTCCATTAACACTTCCACTAGTTTTCATACTGTTTTATGCAAATTACAAATAACAACCGCAATATTTAGAGTCTGTTAAGAGTTGCTTTATTAATACATACACACAAGCTGTAAAGCACTAAGAAACTTAAACATCTAAGTCATAACAAACGGGTGGCAATTCAACATCCAGAGTCGACAGAATGCTTGAGGGAGACAGCAACGGATCTAGAAAACAGGAATTTCTTATTCAACATCTGCAAATCCTTGAGTCATTGTCCATCTCAACACAGACATTAGTTATCACTTTTAATCATGAATTGTTTTCCTTTGTTTAATGAATCCATAACCCTCCACCCCCCTCACCCTAACCCCCCCCCCACACACACACACACACTCCCTTCTTGGAATATGACAGTGCTCCCAGAATTAACCTCTATTTGGAAATACATCTTAGTAGTATCTGAAACTCTATTGTTCTTAGAGATCCAAGAAAGAGCCAACAGTATCGCTAATGTAAATTTATAAAATAGTATACGTTATCCCATCAGAACAAATAGAAAACACACTGATGTTGGCTTCTGACCGCCAGTTTGAACCAAGACTTCAAATCTTGTGCAGTGAGAAAGTTTTGTCATTCTACGCTATTGCACAGGTATTAGCTTTGGATACAACTTGCAATTTTTATTCCAAGCAAGTTTACTATACTTCAATTTATAATCTAAGGTGATACATGCTAAATTCAATCTTGTTTTGCTGTATCTAAGACTGTCCGGGTTCCAGAATGACTTGATTTTACCTGGGCACTTGGCACTAAAGAGAAATACCCATCGAGAATAGTTCCCATTATTCTGAAACCGTACCCTGAAGTGTGAAGGATAGAAATTGCTTGTAGGCCAAACTTTTGTACAACTCTGTCCCCACAGGAATGGAAGCGTAATGACATAAACTGTTCGCAGCCCTTGTAGAAGGGCACTTGTTCACTTACTGGACCCCCACGGTGGAAAGGGCATCTTCAGAGGCGAAGGGGGGCCCACGTGTAACAGCTTTTCAAATTCCCTCTCCTCGTCAAGCAGCATGAGAGGCACGCCATTCATGGGGAGCTGTGCGATCTGGTGCTCTTCTGGTAGGTCGAAACTCTCAAAATCTGCCACAAAGGGAAGGTACTCGGTCAGGGCAGCAGTTCTCA